TTTTGGTAATGAACACTTCACCTTCTGTATGGGACTGTGGTAAAATGAAATAAATTAGAATGATTAATCTTACACTATTTTACAGTAATCATATTCCTAAACATGTTTTTGATAGAAAAAGGGGGGGGGGGATGAGGGGGAAGATGACAATACTGGTCTACAAATCTCATGTGCTACATTACTTCAGTTGTATCTCAGATTGCTCTGACAATTAAATAGGTTGGGTAGTTTTGTAGAAGGTCATAGCTGTTACCTCGTGAGTCAAAGCAGGAATACTTTGGATCAGCCTGCTTTTTTACTGGAGTATGTGCATACTTAAAAGGGTATGATGGGATCCGTGGAGCTGTAAGGAGATACTCTGCCCTGGTTTGAACACAGGGCAATTGGGGAACCTATCTTTGTGGTGTATATATAATGTATAATATTAACCAGTATTTATGTTAACAGTGAAAATTTCTTGATGTTGACTTGCTGTGAGTATCCATGTTTGACAAATGTCATAGACCAGATTGGGCCACTTGCCAGCAGGGAACTAGTCAAATAGCCTGCAGGAGCACCCCGTGCACCTAAAGAGTGTCAGGGAGAGGATGGTGCCAACTTCCAGCTAAGGAGGGTAGCCAATAGCACGTAACGCATTGCTTCCCAATTCTGTTTCATTTCTTCCCCATGTCTTTATGTTCTTTGACAGGTCTTCCACTTCACACCCTGCTGGATGGAAGGTGACTTCATGGGATGAAAGCTCAGGCCCTGACCTGTTGACTTCTGCCCAAGCCTTACTGCACTGAGTCTCACCCATCCTATCTTAGATTTAATGTATAACTATAAGGTAAGTCCACAGGTGTGGGAGAGCTTGAAGGCAGCTGGTGGGCAGAGAAAAGAGAGTGAGGAACTTCACACACAGTGTCTGAGTATATGTATGATGTTTGTATCAGCTCCTATTCTGCTCCTGCTGTGGTGGAGGGCTGGAATGAGAGCTGGTGGGAAAGGTGACTCCTTTCTGCAGCTTGGAAAAAGTGAAGGAGAAAGAGGCAAAGGGAGCGGCTATAGTAGGGAAGTCTTCCTATCTCATCTCTATTTCACCCTCACTGTGGAGAGGGGGTGTAAATTAATTGCTAGACCAATGGAGGGCAGAAAAGGTTGGGTAGCCTGGATGAACTGTGCTTCAGTGGAATTAAAGAGTTGTGAGAGTAGGAATCGTCGTAAACCCAAATCAGAGAATGCTCATAAGTGGGGAACCTGAGGCATTACCATCTTTAAATAGTGTCTGGATTAAAGTTACGCTACCTGGAATGGGTTTAATGCACGGTACTCTACATTACTGTGCAAACGTGTGTGCATGTACTACTCCTATTGCATGCTTCGTATGAATAGAGCTGTTGCTGCAAATTCTCTACACAGCTGATGATCTGGGCAAAGATACATTTGTGTATGGGAGGGAGTAAGTGCTTTCATCCCAAAGACATTGGGTAGTGCTGACATTGTTTAGACTCCAAAGCTATAAAAGATACCAGGCTCAATAATAAGTGTTCGGATGCTTATTAGATTAGCATGTTGCATATAACCAGATCTGTGACTGCTTTTCAGCTTTAATTACCTCTTTGCACATAACAGCATTTTCTGTCACTACAGTGGAGGGCTGAATGGCTAAGATGACCTTTGTGTTGCTATGTATTTAGGTTTTGTTTCAAAATGAGAAATGAAAATATTAAATGTGAAAAAATATGAGTAAGAATGTTAACCAGTATTTTTAAAGTAAAACACATACCTTAGCATGTTTTTTATTAGGCAATTTCTGAGGTGAATTTCTGTAAGCAGTAGAAGGCCTGCTGCCAAAGGACACCTTGGCCTCTTTGGAGTGAGCATAGCTGGTCTAGAGGCTCAAGTTTGGGGCATTCTTTGCCTTTGATAGACCCAGAATAGCCCAGGGATGTTGGATGCAAACATGACCCTTATTTTGAACAGGTTAAGATTCCCATGAATATTTTTTTTTTCCCTACCACAAATCATCTAAACAACTTGAACAGCCACACTGTTCAGGGAGATTATAACTTGTAGTAGTAGGCCTAAGTTTTGTCTTATTTTCGTTTATTTTACCTTTTCTTGTATATTGATTCTTTTTTTAGGATGAGTTTATTTTGTTGCCTTAGCAAAAGTAGGTGTTTCCTGAAGGGTAGCAGGTGCTGGGAATGATAATACAAGCTATGGTTAGTATTGGGAGCAATGATCAGAGGAAGAGGTTAAAGTAAATGTTACAGTCACATAAAATGTCTAAGGTTTGAACTCCAGTAGAAGTTTATAGTTGCATAAGCATAAATTACAGATTAAAAAAACCTGTCCCACAAACCTTCACAAATCATAAACAGCTGTGGATTTTGGATGCAACCAGCTGTTTTGTTTTGTTTATTAAATGGTTGTCCTGGACACACAGAGCATGGCTAGTCCCTATATTTATATTAGGTAGCCTTCTTGGGGAAAAAAAAAAAAAAAAAAAAGGATTTTGGTGATTAAGAAAAATCAGGTGCAACCTCTTCCAGTGCCCAGTGGCTTCTAGGCCACACTTTGGCCTTCTACCTTTGCAGAGCAGGAGCTAGGTATGGATAGAGGTAGACATCATTGCCTCCTCCAGGGTTAGCCTAACCTTAAGTAAAGGTTAGGAGTCTTGTCTAATTAAGTGAATCACCTAGATTATCGCAGTAGTCAGTAGAGGCATTTTCAGGGGCAATTCAGTCCATCTAGCTTACACATCAGTTGCAGGATAGGATGAATTAGCTGCTGGAGTTACATGTCTCCAGATATAGGAAGGAATCTAGTTGACCAGACTGGACCACCAGCTTTTACACAGCTGAAGCTCTCTCTCCTCCTCATGGGTTATGACAGCTCAAGACTTGGAATTAATAGAAGGGTAAGACTAAGTTCAGCTCAGGCTTTGTAAAAAAGACAGAAGATTCATTGTCTTTATGCTCTGTGTCCTGTTAGCACCCTCTTGGCTCGAGTGCTTCTGGTGTGCTGGAAGAGCCATGGTCTTCTGCGGTAATATTATCTTTGTCTCGCATGTATCCAAATACAAGTCACTGGTTTCCTAGCTGGCGTGCTGTTGACATAGTATTCAGAAAATTTCTGGACAGGCAGGTTGCCATATGTAGGACCGCTGATCTCAGTTCATTAGAGCACTATGAGATACCTTCCTACATTTCTGTGCCTTTTTTTATATGGAAATGGGAGAGAAAGATTTGAATATACATAGATAATACCATTACCAGTTCATTTAAAAGGCCACACTGTATTTTTTTAACAATGCTATATCTTTCTAAACAACGTTCAAGAAGGATAGGGATATATTTAGAGGCTGGATATTTCAATTGCTGGCTATCCAAAAGTGACATAACAACACTATAATTTTAAATAGGATGAGGCTTTAATGGGTCTCCTAGAGGAAAAAAAAAAAAGCTGTTTATTAGTAGAAGTGTACTAAACTACCTGCATTTTACAAAGTGCTAATGGAGGAAATTACTTCTAGAGAAACAAATGAAAATGTCAATTAAAAAAAAATGTAATGGCTCTGAGTTGTGTTTGTTTGTGGGTTTTTTTGTTCCTAAGAAGAGAAGTGCTGAGTATCATTTTCTTAATGCTTGAAAAGCTTTTGGTTTGCCTCTGTTGCCTTAGTTCTGTGGGTTGGTCGCCCCCCCCCCCCCCTTTTTTTTCTTTTTTGGGGTTGGTTTTTTTTTTGTTTCCCCCCTTTATCTGCTGCATTGGAGTTGGATTTCATTTAGACTGGAGGCTAATTTAATGTTCTGGTCTAATGCTTTTTCTCTATTATATGTTTTATTTTTTCCAGGTTTTTACAGAGCATCGTCCAATGAAAATGTGTCCAAAAGCACAGTGCCTGCATTTATCAGCTTTGAATTGCCTAACCGTCAGATGACTGAGTAACAACCAATTAATAAAACCCCTTTATGTTGGGGAGAATGGGATTAGAATGGGTGTAAACTACTCATGAGACCTTGCTCCCTAATAAGAGGAAATAATGTTGAGTGCTAAAACAGATAATCTAAAAAACTTTTCCAAAAAAGCCCTACAAATCTTTCGGTGTTCAAGACCTCCTTCTTGTAAGTCTGCTGTTAGTTGTGTGAAGCTGACAGCATCCATTGTACTTTCAAGCTGCTATTGGAATAAACTTACATGTGGTGGATGCGGAAGCTGCCATGTGGCTGCTTGCCTTCTGGGTGAATGGAGCTGTAGCAACAGATTAATATGTTGGGCCTTACATGCCTGGCCATAAAAAGATTTCTTGTATTAGCTCTCTTTTTAGTAGATGTCTCATATTTGCCCCTCTGCTGGATGTTACTTTGGTAGTGGTTCATGGCAACTGAGACTGGCATGCTGGCAGCCTAAACCACCTGGCTTTGCATTTCCATACCTGCCAGTGATGTGACGGCTCATATGTAAGCACAGAGTAGGAAGAGAAAGAAGTTCCTACTAACTGTAGAATATTATTGAAGTGGAAATTCCCTTGTCACAATTTCCTAATGCAAACCGGCATTTCTACAGTGGTTGTTTATCATGAAGTAATAGGTAATGTTAGGGTTTGCTTGGCAGGCAAGCTTTCTGATAGCTAATGTATGTGTAAATGTTTCCCTTGCTTTAAAGGATATTAATGTGTTCAAATGGTAGTTGCAAAGGCGGCTTAATGAGAGCATTAAGGAAAGAAGCTTATTCACAGCATTAACATCAGCTGAAAGAATGACGTGTTAGCCTGCAATGGCTTGTACAATGACATAAAGGAACTGTGCATTTTTAAGCAGTGAAATGTTTAGTTTTTAATGCTTTGTATATTTGCTTATGTTAGATGTGTCTCTAATTATTTGTTCTCATAACAGAATAAAAACAGCTACTTGAGGATAATGTCTGGAAAAAACAGACACTAGAAAACAAGTTGCTGTGCTGAGGTAAGAAAGCAGTCATTGAAGCAGAGTGAACATAGGACATTCAGTCTATAAATAGGGATGGTAGAAGAGACTTTACTTCTGCTACTGCCCATTCCCAATATAAAATGTGATTAAGTTTTAACAAGACATCAAGCATTTATTTTCCATCTGTAATCTCCAGAAGTTGAATACTGTAGTCCTATCAAAATATTGCCTCTATTAAAACTTGCAAGATTAGATGCTGGAACCAAATGAACTAAAGGCAAGCAGTATGCAAACAGAGTGTATTCAAGGCTTAATGACCTTTTTTGGAAAGATTTGGAAGAAGTGTGTTCTTAAATTTGTTGCTTACACTGAAACTGGCGAACCAAGATTGATCTCAAAGACTTTTTTTTTTAGTAATTTGTCTCCTGTTCATAGGTCTCCACCTATGAACTTAATTGTTGTACTTAATTATGTAGTATTTGGTTACTTTCACAGGGTGCTCTGGTGTCCTAATACGAATTTTCCACATTTAATAAGAGTCATTAGGGGTTATCTCAGCCTTCTAGCTGAGAAATGAAAAATGAATCATGGTCACTTGGTTTTTTTCCTCTCTGCCCAACCCCTTGAGTCCACAGAAATAAATGAGTTCTTCCATATTCCTCATAGGTCTCATTTTCAAAAGGAGAAACGTCAACAAATTTCTTGCTATTTAGGATAATAACAAATTGAGAGCTGTTCTGGGGCATGGTGCACAATGAGAAATCTGTATCTTCAGCTCAGGGAAACTTTCGGAAACTGTTTCTATTTGTCCAATATGGAAAAAAAATCACATCATTTGACATAGCCTAATTTTGCTTAGCAAGCATATCTAGCAGCTCTTTCTCTATGCCTTGGCTGCTCAGTTCATTTAAACTGTAGTATCTATGAACAATCTTTTCATCTGTGACAACAACCACTCGAAGCCCATGCGTATCTTCTCCCAGCTGACATCCTATTGCTGATGAAACCACCATTTCTAGTCCTCTGTAGGACCCTCCAGCATTCCTATGGTAGTGTCCAGAAAATACAGCTTTAATGCCTGTTAAAAAAAAGAAAAAAAGAGAGTGTGTATTTAGTTAGCATTTGTAGTTTATGTGTAAAATGTGTTTACAGTAAAAGATACTGCTGAGGTTATATGCTGAGGCTTACACAGCTGCTGGGGTTGCAGAGAAAGTTCTATAGCAAGTACAGCTACAGGTGTCATGTTTACCTTCATTCTTTAATGGTTCGTAAAGCATACAATTAAAAGTAAACCATTTACCTGAACTTGCATTTTAAACAAATAATTAGTAAACAGCAATAAATAATTCTAATAGTAATAATAAATAATTAGTAAAAACTTTATTCTGCTCTACTAGCCCCATTTAGGGTTACTGGACTCCGACTTCTTTATGCTTACTGCAAAGTGTGTTTGTCATCTTGATCCTCCTTTGGCTGGAAAGAAAGAACACTGTAGAGGAAGCTGATTAAAATTAGAAAAAACTTTCAGTAATAGATAACTTCCTAAAGAATGATACTATCGAAACATGAGTTGAAAGCCAAGGATTGTGGAGCTGAATTTGTCAATTAACATGCAGAAAATTCACTAAGGAGAGCTTAAACCTGTTTACCCAAGGTCAGGGAAAGAAAGAACACTGTAGAGGAAGCTGATTAAAATTAGAAAAAACTTTCAGTAATAGATAACTTCCTAAAGAATGATACTATCGAAACATGAGTTGAAAGCCAAGGATTGTGGAGCTGAATTTGTCAATTAACATGCAGAAAATTCACTAAGGAGAGCTTAAACCTGTTTACCCAAGGTCAGTGACCTTAAATTAAAAAAAAAAAAGGGGG